AGACAACCCCGTAACAATATGCGTTTTGTACTGCTGTTACACAGCACAAAACGCATAAAAATCATTTGTTCAAGCTATCAGAAAATATTTAAAAAAAAAAAAAATGAATTTCTCGTCACTGAAAATGTGCCATTGACAAATGAAGATGTGTTTTGCGAATACCATACATAAAATGTGAAATTTTTTGCCGCACTGTATGATGCCCACAAAATATCACACTTTACAATGGTACTTTGAAATACTGCCATCGATGTGGTACTTTTTGCTACTGATCTAACTGATAATTTCTGCATTTCTAGCATCATGAGCGATAACAATACTTGGCCAACGCACGGGCTGCCCGTGCGAAAATGCGTTTTTTGCAGAGCTCCAAGCAGTTTCTGTCGCTACCAACATCGGTTTTTTCGGTAAATGCTTCAAGCTAAACAAATTGAGACTGGTTGTCAGAACTGGCAGGAAACATCCCCTTAAAATTTCAGCTTTCTAGTTTTCCTGGCTCCGGAGTTATACTGGAAAAAACCTTCACGAGCCCGCACGCGGGTACGACGCATGCCCGATGTCTGAGTTTGAGCTCGTTGAGATTTACTTGGACGAGGAAGATCTTTTTAAAACCATAGCCTTTTAGTTTTACAGGTTCTCGAGCTATGAGCTTACCCGAGAAAAACTTTGGTGAACCCGTCGTAGGTGCCACGCATGACCGAGGGCTGGGTTTGATCTCGTTGAGACTAATGTGGAGGAGAAACGCCCTCTTAATGTTACAGTCTTCTAGCATCTCAGATCCCCGAGTTATGAACTTGCCAGGGAAAAATTTCGGGGGGCCCATAAGTGGGTACCACGTTTACTTAGGGGATGAGTTTGAGCTTATTAGTACCTGCTTGGACATTCCCTCAAAATTTCAGTTTTCTAGCATTCCAGATCCCCGAGTTATGAATTTACGCGGCAAAAATTTTGGCGGACCCGTACGCGAGTACCAGGCTCACCCGGAGGCTGGGTTGCAGCTCATTAATACTTATTTGGATGGGGAACATCTCTTTAAAATTTCAGCCTTCTAGCTTTTTTGGTTCCTGAGTTAGCAGCGTACCCGTAAAAGACTTTGGCGGGCTCTTACGTGGGTACCACGCGGGCAACACCGCCCATTCTGGGGATGGGGGCTCGTATGTGCATGTAGATTAACTCCTCAAAGTTTCAGTCCTGTAGCTTTTGTGGGTCTCGAGATGAAAAATCGGTACAGACGCGCAGCGCACACGCAGACACACACACAGACACACACACATACAGGCAACCTCTCGTCAATATGCGTTTTTCGCATTGCATAGCTGCAAGAAACGCATAAAAAGTAACGTTTGCTTACCAGCATATGCGTGTAATGTAATAAATCGACAGCATCAATGGCAAGATCATGCACAAAATCCAAGTAGTATGTGAAGGTGCCAAAACTGACTGATGAAAAGTAAACTGGGGCATTGTCGAGAAGAGCGGCGCATTTCAAGACCAAATAAATACTTCCCAGCAGTGGTTTGATGGCCTGAAACAAACTTGGCTTGTTCTGAATTGTCTGTACCAGAAGAAAGATATTCGCATGAACCGATAAACACATCAGGGCGACTGCAATATCAATGATGATGGTCTGCAAAGGGTCGAAAAACAATTTTAAGCATCACTACTAAACACTGTTAAACATCCCTCCCTTCAGCGTTTTTTTCTTTTGGGCATATCTTTCTAAGAATAGCGCGATAAAAAAATAATTGGCCAACGCACGGGCTGCTCGTGCGAAGATGCATAGTTCCCCGCAGTTTTTGTTGT